CATACTCGGGAGGACAGCAGGACCCCAGGGCCCTTCTGTCCCCATAGTCACATACTCGGGAGGGCAGCGGGACCCCAGGGCCCTTCTGCCCCCTTGGCCGCGTCCTCAGGAGGGTCCCGGGTCCCTGGGGCCCTTCTCTCACCTTGGCCGCGGCCTCGGGAGGGCAGCAGGACCCGCGGGGCCCTTCTGTCCCCTTGAACACATCCTCGGCAGGGTGCTGGGACCCCAAGGCCCTTCTGTCCCCTTAGCTGCGTCCTCGGGAGGGCAGGGGGACCCCAGGGGCCCTTCTCCCCCTTGGCCGCGTCCTCGGTAGGGCAGCAGGACCCTGGGGCCCTTCTGTCCCCTTGGCCGCGTCCTCCGGAGGGCAGGGGGACCCCAGGGCCCGTTTCCCCCCCTAGCCGCGTCCCCCCAGACACAGGGGAGTTCTTCACTGCGCGGAGCGCTGGCGGATGAGCCTTTCCTTGACCAGATTTTCTCCTGTAGTGACTTGGCAGGTGGGAAAATTCATTTTCCAATGAGCTCCGGCTACTCCAGTTCTTATTTCGGAGAGGTCCGAGCAGGGAGCAAGGTGGCTGCAGAGCACAGAAGGAAGCATCATTGTAAAGAGAGGGTTTGTTACGAGCTAAGGCCACTTTCAGGGCTGAAATAAGTAAAGAAAAAAGATGTAAAACAGCATTGCACATAAGCAAAATATCCCACTTTTACTTCAGGCTGCTTTGTCACATCTTGGATTTCTGCTTTTAAATCTGAGATTATTTCCGAGATTCACTATTACTTGGCCCGTCCAAGTTCTACTGTGGCAGCACCGTGGTGCAAACGGGTAGAGAGGCAATTAAAATACTCCTCCTCCTCCCTGTGTTTAATAGAATTAATAGAATTTTATTAATAAATTTTTAAAAGACTACTAAAATCGGTGTGCTTAGAGGAACCACTTGTAGCCGACGTGCAGACCACACTAATGATTCATCCTTAGCATAAAAGCTCCTCTGTTCAGTGCTTTAAAAGGAAGCAGTAAATATGCAGCCCTCCCATGACATCATGCTTGTAAAATGAGACTTTTTTTACTCATTTTGGCCAGGAGCTTTAGAGGTTACAGGGAGCAAGTGGGGGATGGAAAGAGAATTGGCAAGAATCGACTATTTCAGCGTTAGTTTTCTGGCAACATTAATGTACGAACATCTGGAAAGAAGCTTGAACACAGAAACATGGAAATCCCTGTGTAACTTCTTCAAGAAAACCAAAAAAGCAGCTGCATCCAAAGAGGCAGAAGTTACAAACCTGGCAGCAGGGAGGATTTTCCTCTCCTTTCGTTAGCAGGAGATGAAGGAACAACCAATGTGAATGCGCCTGGTATTTTCCAAGGAGCAGCGTTTCTTTGCCTTTGCTGATGCCTTTCTTTGCCTTTACAAATATCAAGTAATTAATTTTTCCTCATCTCCCTCAGAATCATTCCCTCATTGCCCATATGCTGCAAACCAGAAAGTTCCTTTCACACCGTGTTCTCTATCTTTGCACAACATCCTATTAAAAGACAGTTTTGCAGGAGACGGAAAAGGCAGAAAAACCTTGGAACGGGCACCGCCAAAATGCTCTTTATTTTAAAAGTTTATAGGTGGATCTCATGCTTATAGCTCCTCTGTCCTCTCCAACTATAGTTTCATATAAAATGGTCCTAGCATCAGTTTCCACAACAATTTAAATTCAGAACCCATTTTTCCCTTGAAGTAGATGAGTAAATTTGCTACCAACATCATTTTTCACTGTTATACAATCTAGTACTTAGAGCTACAAGCAATGAATGAATTAGGCATCAACCAGGAGGTATCCCCAAATTGGATCTGTTTCTCTCTATATACATATATATATATATGTATAGCACTGTGCTGATTACCGTCCTCCTTCTACCCTGCATTAGATATGCTTATTAATTAAGTTTGTCCTCAGTAAAGATAAATAATGACATTTTCCCTGTTGATTTCTTGGGTTTAACAGTATTCTCACAGACTTGTGTACCTGTTTATACCTTAAGATTTGGGAGCATTTTCATCTGGCATCTTACATCTTTAATGAGCAGTTTTGCATTAAGTTACAGCATTTAATTTGCTGACTCTATGTGTTTTGGACTAGAGGAGAATCTTCATTTATTAGCAAGTTTCAAAGAAGTTGACAAGACTCTGAACTACATTTTTGATTTTTTTCAGTGATAATCACTCCATAGCCTAAATTTGTGAACTGTATAACTACAGATCTCTAACAGAAACTATAGAACAGACCCTCTACATACATTAAAAAACAGGACAGGAAGAGCCACTGATCCTAAATTTTACACATACACAAAGGCCAGTTAAAGTCCGGATTATAGGGAAGACAAATAATCTGAGAACAGTCCAACAAAACCAGCAAGGAAAACCAAAGATGACCCTAAAATCGGAGTGTTCGGGGATATTCCAGGTTTTGCCACTTTGCCACTCGAGATGACAAGAGTCCAGGATATCCAAAATCCCACACCTGATTCCTCAAGTCTTGGTTGCTCTTCACACAACACTGTGACCAAGTGAAAAAGTAAACGCGAGCAGAATAACTGAAATTTGGATCTTTAATATTGTACATTCACTTGACATCACAGCGACCATTCACAAAACAGACTGCGTTATACTGTCACCTTGGGCAATTCCAAGCATTTCCATTTGCAACTAGAAACCAGGTGCTTGTGCCCAATACCAAGCCAGCAGGATTATTACACAGTGCTCCACAAAGTACCACTTGTTCAAAGAAAAGAAATAAAGGTTAAAAAGAAAGAAGCAAGAGATCAAAGTTATTTTTGTGCCACCCCCAAGTATACAACCAAACGGGGAGTCCTTGATCTGGAATGTGATTGCACAGAACCGTGATCTGCACCGAACCAGCTGGTTCTGCGCTGTGTTTTGTTACTGCATTTACCACCGCCCGATTCCTGCCATGAAATCGGGTCAAACATTTGGTTCTATAAGATTGAATGTTTCTCAAAGGGAACAGTCAGTTCCTTGGCTGCAGACTCATCCAGGAACCAGTGCAGCTGCCCAGTATGAGGTTGAACAAGAGCAGCAGGAAGGGCCTTTTCCTCATCACCTTCCAAAATGCGCTGTGCAAAGAAAAAGAACAGTGTTTCAGCAGACTGCGCAGTGAAAGAGCACCGCAAACCAACAACGTGAGCCTTAAACTATTCACCACATTGCAAAAACACTTCAGAGTTTGGCTAAAACGCTACCATGTTCTTACCCCTATCCCTGTAAATGCCAAGTTTAACTATTTAGCCTGCTTCTCCAAAAAAAAGCCAGTAAACGGGTCTTCCTCAAAAATATCTGCTGACAATCTGGATCTTCATTGAAAAGTTTTTTTTCCCCAACAATACATACCTTTAAAATAGCAGCTTTACCCTCCCCTGTAGCAACGAACACAACAGTCCGCGCTGCGTTAAGCACAGGCAGAGTTAACGTTATCCGTTCTGGCGGCGGCTTTGGAGAATCAGTAATAGCAGCAACAATTTTCTCTTTCTCCTATCAGGGCAAAAATAAAGGTGGAAAAAAATAATCAAATCAAAGCAAGAGAAGGCAGATATGGTACTTTCCAAACAAAGCAGCAAGTTGCCTGACTCTAACAACGCAGTAAATAAGACAGAAGATTGTTATTGAGGACTATCTAGCAGCAGATTGCTTAAATTTTTGCCATCTCTGCCTAAAATTAGATCCCCTTTGTTTACTCCAAGGAGTTTGAGATCAGACTACTAGTCTTATAAAGGCAATTTGGGAGCTACTCCTCAAAAGAGCAGTGACAGCATTCATATATTCACTCGGAATCCCGAGCACAACCACATTCATACAAAAAAACGGGGCAGGAGGGGCCACTGACCCTACGTTTCACTCATCAGCTAAAAACAATTAAAGTGAGAATTAAAAGGAAGAAAAATAACCCCAGAGGGGCCACATGGGCACAACTTGTATTTTGTTAAGCTGAATGTCCGCTGGTTCTCACCTGCAAAAGGGGGTGACCTGGAAAGAGGGAGCAAGTGTGACCATCTGGCCCCACTCCTAAAATTAGCAAGTCGAAGACAGGGAGGTTCTCACCCTGAAAAGCCTGTAAAAAGAAAATAATAATAATAAATAACAGAAGACTAAAAGCCCTCATCACACACATATGTGGCACATTACAAGGGAGGAGACTCAGAAGTGGATCCCAGGAGCACAGGACACTGCTGCTCTGAATTCCCAGTCAGGCCATGAAGCGCCCAGGGGCCTCTTTTGAGCGTGTAGGCGTGTGGTGCCGAAGAGCAGCCCTGGAGGCCTCGGGCTGCTGCTCTTTCCCTGTGCGAAAG